ATTATGATAAATGAGCATCTGTTGTTCAAAACTGCATTTGCACACACACACCCACACACACACCCACCCACACACACACACACACACACACACACACACACACACACACAGAGAGAAATATATGCATTAATTAATTTAACTTGTAACAACTTTATGTTTACTTAAATTTTCATAATGACTTTTCTTTTACCCATTACAGTGTCTTTAGAAACCCTGAATGTGATTACAGCAGTCACTGTCAATACAGACAATGTGTGTGTGTACCCATTGTTATTACCACTGTGATATAGATCAGCATACACATCAAGGACGCTGCTCTTTCATCCTCTTAGCTTGTACTTAGTGACATAAACCACATGGACGTGCACACCCATACATACACACAGACAGATGTGTTGACTAAAGTCCTGATCTACATTCCACCCCTTTATTTTGACTCTGTGATCTTTACTGTCCTCCCGAGTCTGTGGCTGGTCCTTCCTTTTTTTTTCCTGACAGAGACTAATGGGGGAGACGACGGCAAGCTTCTGTGAGGACCATCACAATCCATCTCAATAAATGATGCCGTTAGCGTGCACATCTCTTTTTGCTGCGAGCAGAACAAAACAGAGGCTTGTTGTTGTTTCAGGCAGATCTAAGTTTTACAACAAATTTATCCAAATCATTTTTTTAATTTGCTGCTGAATTGCACTAAAAAAAAGTGCAGCAGAAGGTGAAGACAAGCCGCTGCACAGCTGATAATTAGTCACTTAAGCACAACAAACAGAATTCCATTGAGTTTGAGTAAACATCCTTCTTTAATTAAATTTCATAATTGAAGCAGCAGATGACCATCTGTACATGGATATAAGCTGAATCCTGACAATAAATGTTGCAGCAGTGTTGAGCTCAGTATAGAGCTCAGTCGTGAAATACAATAATAATGATAATAATAATAATAATAATAAGAGTAAAATAATAATTATCACTTCAGTAGAGTAAAAAATAATATTCTTGTACACATTCTATTAGCAACAGGGACAATTAAAGTGAACAATAGTAAAGTGTGCTGATTCTTAAACCTACTAATTACAACATTTATACAATGCTTAGCCAAAAATATTGTTTGTTATGGAAAAAAATGCATTGTGACTAAAACCATGTAAATGTCCCCATAAAGTAAATATCACAGGGGAATACACATGTGGATGGGTTGTGTGCAAGTGGAAATTCTGCAGCCAATCTACAGAATCATCCTGAGAAACCTATAGGTGCAACAAAACCCATTCAGCCCATAACACTGACAATATTCAAGAAAAAGTGGTCCTTATGTCAGACTTATTTCAACACAACAGCATGAAAGCATCATGATGCAGTTACAAGCAGCAGCAGAAAAAAAGTAAACTCAGCCATGACAAGAAGTAATTCACAGTTATTGAGAAACAGTGGATGTTTTATGAGGAGCCACAGACTCAGATCTGATCACTCAACGATTACATTCCAAACAGTTTTGCACAATAAGTGAGTGAAGATAAAATGCCAGGTGTTCATGCCTTCGCATCCCCAGCTACACTGCACACTGCTGTAGAATAATGCAGATTGAAATGTGAATATACGCTAAATCTGCTAGTTTATAATGGATTGTGATCCACACTATTTTTAGTCATCACCGTCAGCTGTGAGTTAATCTGAACGGGCACAGACACTGCAACGCGGAGCGAGGGGGTTCAAGGGTTAACAAGCATTACACTCACAGTCATAAATACAAGAGGGGAGGGAAGAGGTTAGATGGATTTATGTAGCTGCAGCCTCTGTTCCACTGTGTCTACCACTTAAACAAATAATGACTGGCCTCCCACCTAACAAATGGCCACAGCAGATGAACAAAGAGACATAATTGTTGCACAAACCTCACAAGTAAAGACACTGCACTGTGGGGACATATCCATAATATATGAAAATGTACATTGGATATTAACAATGGTTGGATGCACATAGTTATGTAAGTTTGTGTAACAAATTTAAATGAAGTAGTTGCTATGATACATTGTCTTGTTGTTATATTGCAGGATTTATATTTTCTTTCACGGTGATGCCACAGTAGCTGAGGTTTCTTGCAGAATTTTATTAAGGCAGCAAGTTTTTATTGCATTGATGCATTAGCGCATGTTTTTTTTTTACGCTGCAGTGAAAATACCATCCAACAAATTCATGCTCTCTCTCTTTGGCTCTGCATTTTATATCTCGTGCTGTATATCCCTGTGCCTTCCTCTCTTTCAGTCCAACATTCAGTATATGCTGGTACCTTCCGACCTTTGTGTGCATCATCACGTGTCACACGTCGGCAACCACACTGCGTGAATGGGTTTGTATGTGTGTGCACGTGGCAGCTCAGTGCAGCATTACCCGAATGACCAGGCTTCTGTGAATGATCAAAATGATCAAACAAGCTCAGACAGATAAAAAGGAAAATGTGTGGTTGGTAAAGAGGTGCATTAAAGATGCACACACACACACACACACACACACACACACACACACACTCCCTGCCCTCCCGTGACCCAGAAAACAAGAAGCATGATTTTCAAATATGTTTTTTTCTTCCTGCATTCTTTTTTTTATACATTAAAGACTTTAACAGGTTTATCTCTCTCACATAGATTTAAAAACACAGAGTCATAAATACAAAGACCATCACAGCACCCGAGAGAAATCACTTGCCATTGCAATGGGTAGCCTGAGAGCCCCCTGCCCTTTACCTTCACTCCTCCTCATCACAGGAGAGTTCCTCTGAGACTGGGGGAGCAGCTGAGCAAAAGCCCCATGATCCAGCCCAAGAGACGCAGCCTTGCCTATAGTCTATCCTTATAAGCATAAACTATGTAAATTACCCCAAAGGCAAAGGCCACATCGTGCAGGTTACATAAACCTGTGTGTGCTCGGCGTTGCTTAAGGAGTCGCCTATATGGCACGTAGACTTAATATGTTCCACTTTAGTGGTTTCAAGTTCGTTAAAAAATATGATGCAAGCTAGAAAATCATATACACATATGGTAAAGAAAGCCATATGTGTAATGCATGTGCACACATAGCGAACAACCATGAACACAAGCTCATTATTATATGCATCACTGCATGCTCGCACGCATGCGCACATGTGGACACACACAGACACACAAACACACACGTGCCCATTTACATTTACAATAATCTAGTCAAATATGGCCCAGGAGCATGATTAATTGTGTCCTGTCTAACGTAATGCAACATCGCCATCTCCTGTCCTGAAGAAAAAAATGCAACACTGCAGCAAATGAATCCATGTGAACAAGTGGTTCTCTCTGTTTCTTCTTCCTCTCCCGTCTGTCTGATGGTGTAACCTGCTGGTTCATCTGGGTCGATAAACTCTTTCACCTTCCAATGAGCATTTCAGTACCAATTCTCTCAAACGAAGATGTGTGCATGCAAGCTTTTGAGCAGGATAAAAAAAAACATCCAGGAGGCTGTGAGGCTTAGGTTTCTGTTGCTTGATATAAGCAATGACATACATCTTCTTAGTCCACATCTTCTCTACTTCCTTTATGTTCTCTGCTGTCTTTAACCTCAACCAAGCGCTCCCCATTCCTTTTTGATTCTTCTTTATATATTTTTTTTCACACACACTTCCCTTATCCTGTTTTTTTCCACCGATCTGCCTCTTGATCTCTGTCTCCCTCATTCCCCCCCCCCCACACACCCCGACATCTCCTTCTGCCTCCCTCAGCCACTGTCTGACATCATAGCAACAACAGCGCACGAGCCACAGGCTTGGTCCACACAGTGCATGTCATTCTATTCAACCTGACTGAGACAGGTGATCACAAGAGTAGCAGGGGGGGATGAGGTGGCAGAGGGGGGCAGAGACACACCCATGTCACTGTGATATATAGGGTGGAGGTGGTTTTAAGGCTATTTGGCCGGCACGCTGTTGGCAAGGTCGACTTTAGGCTGCAGCATTTTTAATGATGTGACTCACTCTGGCATGGTGCAGCAAACTGAGCATGCAAGAGGGTTAGAGATAGAGTGGAGTCATACTGATGTGTCATAGGGCAGAGGCAGGCGAGGGGAGGGGGTTAGAGGAAGTTATTGTCTGAGGGAAGGGTATGTAAAGTGAAAGAGACTTTTTAGAGGGAAGGACGTTGTAACTTTTCACTGTTTGTAGCCCAATAGTGGCAAAAGAACGCTGAAAGAATGAAGGAGGGAGCCAGCAAGTGAGGGAAGGGATGGATTTGTGTAAATGTAATAGAGAGGAAATGATTAGCATTATTGTCTCCTCAGCAGTCAGGAGGCTGTGCAACACACACACACACACACACACACACACAGTCCTACACACACATTCAAATTCTCTCTCTACTGCAGCGTCAACACAGTAGCTCCTGCCACACATGCATCTTCTCAGAGATAAGAGAATGGCATATCATTTCATGCCAATACCAACTTCCACAAACTAATGTAAGATAACACATAAATGTTTGTATGGATGTGTGTGTGTGTGTGTGTGTGTGTGTGTGTGTGTGTGTGTGTGTGTGTTGGGGGTTGTAGGGTGGGAGGATGGCAGCTTGTGGGGACTGTTATAAGAGAAACATAACAGAATATCTTTCTTTTGATGGCTGAGCTGTAACGACGGAGCCCAGAAGCTTCACTTTGTGGAGCAAGAGTGTAAAAGCACAAATGGAGTCACAATAATCAAATAATCAAAGACAAAGATTCTGTTCTCTTCATGTTGGGTTATTTCCTTATGTTTGTTTCTTTATGTTTTTATTATGGGCTTCTTCAAAAGTCAAAGCTTTAACAGAGTTAACATGTTTGCTGCTCACGTTGTGTATCAGGACATGTGTGCTGCTTTGGGGCGCGTGAGGAAACAGAGACAGAAAAAAAAATTAATGAGTGGAACAAACTCACGTCATCAGCCTACGTCATCTATCCCTCAGCGGAAGGATATCTTCTCCCGCGAGTTGTAGTTCCGGGATGTGGGACTACTTCGTGGGATTGGAAGGGATAACGTTGAAGGGCGTAAGGATACGACGGGGCTACGCGTCGCTAGCAGGTGCACTGCGCAGGGAAACGAGGAGTAACACGGGAGGAACGAGTGCACGGTTGAGGGTGTTTTACCGTTAAAACCACCGAAGTCACGTCCCACCTCGCAACGGGACCCCGCGGCTTTCACCGGGATAATGTCACGGTAAGTCCTGCGAGCAAGGCCGTGATATGTCCGGTTAGCTAAAAGCTAAAGGTAGCATGCGCTGCTAACAGCTGACAACTCCATTGAGTGATTGACAGATGTTAGCAGCTGTGTTGGTTGTCACGTCATATGTTTTATGTCGTGACACGTGTAAATAAACATAGATTCTGACATGGTGACGTGTTCACCCCCCCCCAACTGACGTCAGCAGGCGATTAATGAATCGTTTACAGACATCATCCATAGGAGACCCGTGACGTCATGAGTTCACACTGAAAATAATATTTTGTTACACTCAGGGTTGTGGTTTGATTCAGCACGAGTGGGACACAAACACACGTATGCTAACTGTAACCCTCACTGACATAACACATCCACTGCCCCTTATCCTAACATTAACCATCCAAACCAAATGCCTGACCTAAACCTGATTCAAACCTAAACCTAATTCTAACCTAAACCTAATTCTAACCTAAACCTGATTCTAACCTAAACCAAACCTGATTCTAACCTAATTCAAACCTAAACCTGATTCTAACCTAAACCTGATTCTACCCTAAACCTGATTCTACCCTAAACCTGATTCTAACCTAAACCTGATTCTAACCTAAACCTGATTCTAACCTCAACCTAATTCTAACCTAAACCTGTTTCTAACCTAAACCTGATTCTAACCTAAACCAAACCTGATTCTAACCTATACCTAATTCTAACCCTAGTGTAAACCTGATTTTAACCTAATTTAAATTTAATTCTAACCTAAACTTAATTCTAACCTAATTTATACCCAACGTAATTCTAACCTAAACCTAATTCTAACCCTATTGTAAACCTAATTCTAACCTAATTTAAACCTAACCTAATTCTAACCCTAGTGTAAATCCAATTCTAACCCTAGCGTAAACCTAATTCTAACCCTAGTGTAAATCCAATTCTAACCCTAGCGTAAACNACCCTAGTGTAAATCCAATTCTAACCCTAGCGTAAACCTAATTCTAACCCTAGTGTAAATCCAATTCTAACCCTAGCGTAAACCTAATTCTAACCTAAACCTTATTCTAACCCTAATTTAAAACCAAGTCTTAACCCTCAAACAGGAAAAAGTGATGACTGGTCAAAATGTCCTCACTTTTCAAAAATGTCCTCACTCTTGGGTCTATGCTGAAACTGGTCCTCACAAAGACATAAGTACAGGAACACACACACAATGGACTGTGGGGTTTAATGGTATGAATTTGTCTTCTGATTTCCTACCCAAATAAATTATGAGAGGCATAAGATAAAAATGATCTGTTACCATAATCCACCTGAACTCCTTTTCAGTTGTCACCATGTCTACTCCTATTGTACTTATCCTTTGTATGAACATTACTTTCCCTAAAGTATATAGTTTTATTCGCATTGTTTGTTCATTGTAAAGAACATAAATTACTATTATTTATTATTCTAATTCAGTGACGTACATGGCTGTTGTTGGGTGAGTTTGTATTACTGGGCCGGGGGTTGCTAAGCCCCTTCAGGCAGTTTTGTGATAGTGACTGGACTTGAGAGCAGGATGTTTCTCTTTGCTTTTCTTGCAGCAGGGTGTTAACCAGTGTGTGCAAACACACTGGTTAACACAGCCGCACCTCAACAATGGAAAAGATCCTCTTTTGTTTTAGAGTAAGATGGAGAGACTCACTGTTCTAGGCCCGGCCAAGTCCACTGCTAAATCACTTGAATTCATTTTTATAGGGAGTTTAATCTTTGGATGATTTTAACATGATTATACATGATTATAACAAGATTAAAATATCAGAGAGAGAGTTTGAATGAAGCTGGTAGCAGGAACCGAAGGGATTTTTTTTACCATTGATGGGCTTTTGCTGAGCTGCGCCAATTCTATTCATTACCAGACAATTATTGATTTCTCCCTGCAAACGTTTTAAATTTCACTACAAACACAAGTAGTTTATCTCAAATCCACTGATGCCTATCTGCCTAATCTGTTATAGGGTATGACGTGTACTGGGAGATTATTAAAATGTGTAAAATGTCAAAGTTTGCAGTCTGCACCACAGTTTCTCTCTCTTCAATACATCTGATTGTATTTTGCTATTACGGTGAATTAAATACATCACAATTAGATATAATCATATGAAGTTAAATTGAACTTGTGGAGTATTTTCATGTGATTATATGTGGACAATACACACGATACACCTTTTAAATAGTATTTTGAATAGTTTATTGTTCCCTAACCGATTCTGGACTTGTGAAGTCAAAGCCATTGTTGCAATTTGGTGGTTTAAAAAAAGGATGGTTAAAGTTCAGCTGATATTTTATTTTACAAAAGCACTTTTTCTAAGAAACGCTCAAATTATGTAAAAACAAAAACTCTTTTAACAGATATATTGGAGCAGCGGAACAATACTGCTAATAAACTGAGCAATCAGCCTCTGACTGTAGAGTTCTTCTTCTGATCAACCTCAAACTTGCACAGTGTATTTCTCAGGAAGTGTAATGTCTACTTTACTGAGTTTTGGATTAGTGGTTGTCATGATCACAACCCTCCCAGGTGTTAAAACCTGTACTTGCTGTTACCATAAAACTGTGACAGCGTCACTGACAGTAAAGCTGAATCAACATCTCAAAATTGTGCTGAAATTTGATAGTTGGATGCAACAGTTTGCAGGAGGGGCTTCTGTTCACTTGGCAGGTGAATAAACTGTTAGTGTTCTTAGGGAGTTGCTCCAAAATCCCATCCCAGTTCTCCCCTGGGCTTCACACAGCAGAGCTAGTCTGAATCTACTTGGCCACCCTCCAAACACCAAATTGATTTCTCATCTCTCTTAAGTCCTAAATCCCTCTTCAGATGCCGCAAGCCTGCTGCTGGAATGAATCACTTTGGCAAAGCATCTGCATGCTGGTGAGCCTCTTTTATAGGTTATGGCTGTTACGCTGTTGTGCCTGCCTGCGCATGCTGATTCCAAATACTGTCCCCTCTCGCTGCCGTACTGTGCTTTTCTTACACTTTAACTTGTGTGAGGGATTTCACAGTGATGCTTTGGTGTGTGAGATAGATGGGCAGGAACAGTAGACTGTTTATAAAACTTCCCCCCACTACCCAGAATTCATGCTAAAATACCCTTGATTTAAATACCACCATCTTGCACATTTGGAGCCAGAGTCTGTGGAGCAGCAAGCGGGGATGGAGCGAGATCCCATTGCGCTCTTGACCAGTCAGTCAGTCTCTACTGTCAATCATGGCGTTTCAAACCTTTATCATAGCATTAAATAACTGATTAAAACCAAACTTACTGGAACATCCATCAGTGTGAGAAGGAGTTTTGGGTTTTTATAGCGTGCATTAAAACTAGTTTTGTAATTAGATGTAAAAGAGTTGACAAAAGCTATAAAATAAGAGTGTATGCACAGGTTTGTGTGTTTAACTCACCCTGAAAATATAAATGTGATTATTTAATTTTGTGCTTGCCAGTATAACAATATGCATCTAATGTTTGGCTAACATGTACAGCATGTGGTCCTCATTTATTAAGTATGCTAGAAAAGTTGTTTTCAGGGCCTCTGTTATTTTTTGAGCAGCTCCCAACCTAAAAAGATAAAGATCATATCCTCCCGGCACAAGCTGTTCACTGCGCAGACAATAGTGAATAATGAGTATACTCTTTATAATACATTTCTAGTTCAGAGACCTCTGAGGGTAATCTCAAAGACCACTTATTAATTTAGCCCCTGGACATTTGCTGAGAGAGAGTATGAAAAGACAACACGTACAAAGTCAAGTGACCTCCAGGAAGTACATCAGTCATATGGCTTGAGAGGAATGTCCCTCTTTTCTTTCTCAGTTTCTTTTCCTCGCCTCCTAACATTTATTTCCTCTGAGTCTCTGCCCTCACTCATGAAGAAGTGCTTTGGTACAGCATTGTTGGGTTTAAGACTATGCTGTTTCCTCACTCTGAAGGTACTTAGATAGTTTTTTTAAAGAACCACAGTATTGTAATAGAGGCTTCAGTATAATTAACATGTAGTATTATTAGCTGGGGCTCTGGTGTCTTGGGCAGTGAACATGTTGATAGAATGAGTCAATGATTTAACTACCAACTTTTTCTCTTTCTCTGTTTGTTTGTCTGCAGATCGGATACCATCGGCTGACCTTTCTTCTCCGGAGTGACTGCATTCTCTACAAATAGAAGCCATTCACTCAAGTACCAACAAAATGTCCGGTATGGATTTAAAAAAAAAATAATTAAAGTTTAAAGAGATAATTTCTGTAAATCTAAAGACTTGTTCATGTTCACAAATGCCCACTGACCTTGGATTTTAGGCTATTCATTATTTGATTTGTTGTATTACATTTCATCAAAAGTTATACCGTATACTGTTCAGTTATATCTTAATATCTAGTATGTGGTTTTAACCAGCTTTGTTATTTTCTAAATTCCCTCATTGTGTTTATTATATTTTCAGTTTAAATGACAATGTTTCTTCTACATGATTCTGTGTTATAGGGACCTACACACCTGCCCCTGGGGGCCCATTCTCTGCTCTCACTCCAAGTATGTGGCCTCAGGAAATCTTGGCCAAGTACCATCAAGTGAGGATGACTTTCAATGTTGTTAATGCATTAGTAGCATGTTTGCTAACATTAAAAGGAGATTGACAAAAATATGAGACAAATAAATAACAAAACAGCAGAAAATTAGATTTCAAGGAACGACTCATCTGCATAGCCAGACAGAATATCAAGAAGAACAAAAAAGCCTCTGTAGCTTTGCCTTCATGTGACACTGTGACATCTGGTGTGTTTGCAAACTGGCTTTTAAGATGCTTATAAAAGCTGCTGTTGCCGTCGTTAGCTGCATCTTTCACTGTCACCTCTTTTCTATCACACTTGGCCTAATGAATCTCATGTTATTTGATCAACTCCACAGAAAGCCTCATCAGAGCAGCCTGAACTCCAGTATGATGAGTTTGGCTTCAGAGTGGACACTGAAGGTGATAGCTGTTCACACATGCACCCATTTCTTCTGTCTTCACTCTTTCTTGTTCACAATGATAACAGTTCTAAAAACCCACTGAAGAAACATAAATAGGAAACTTGGTATCTGGGTACAAGTTGCTACATATTATACTCAAACCGAGAGCATGTGATCTTAAGAATTATGACTGCAACTAACTATGATCCTCTTTCGGTATTTCCTGTTGATCCAATGTTTTTTCCTGCAGCGATATATGTTTTGCTTCCAGCAAATGGAGATATTTTTTACTGCCTTTTTTTATCTTATTTTTTTCTGAATGCTAAATACATAGACATAATTGTATCTATAGTAGAGTATGGCTCCCGTCACAAAGGTCTTGGCTTCTTATTTCCAGGGTTTCTGCAGGGTCTCAAAGTCTAAAATTTCATAATGTGAATTTGGAATAAAGTGAATATGTTACATTATCACTTGGTCTCAAATATGTTTAGATAGGTCTTAATTATGTTGACTTTCATTTAACGCACTTTATAGTTAGATTTGTTATCTATGTTAAAATTTCATTTTCCAAAGAAGTCTTACAACAAGACGAACCAAATCCTGATGATTCTCTTCTCACTCCACAGATGGTGGGGAGCCCAGGTCCTGGCTGGGCGCTGAAGGCTCACCCCAGCGTGAAGATCCCCAGCAGCGATTGCGCTGGCAAGCCCACCTGGAGTTCACCCACAACCACACAGTGGGTGACCTGACCTGGGAGCTCATTGATCCTGTCCTTCCACGCTCCGAGCGTCTGCGTTCCTTGGTGCTCGGGGGCATACCTCACAGCATGAGGCCACAGGTAAGCGAACTTGCACAGCAGGGGTGAGCTATTTTTGGTGATTACTAAAATAATGCTCAGAATTGCTTTTCAATCACTTTTAACTTACAGAATACATGAAAATCAAACTTATTTTGACTGCAGAGCTACTGTTACCTTGGGGTGTTTAGATTTTAGGAATTTCCAAGGACAGAAAACAAGAGTTTGAAAGATGTTGTGTCTGCTAGCTTTGGATGCGGCTGTCTGGAGCGCTGCAGAAAAAGAGGACCTCTGAAATCTCCTACAGAGAAATCATTAAGAACAGCTCCAATGAAGACTCCACCACAGCCAAACAGGTACAATCCCAAACTACATGTCCACGTGTAACAAATACAATGTCTCTGGCTATAATACAAAGCACTGAATAATAGTATTTCTTATGATCACTTGAAATTACTTAAAGAATGAAGTATTTTTTGGTAAATGTATACACTGCTCAGTTTTATAATTAATTCCAAAATCCTGTACAGCCGAATGAAGCAGCTATTTAACTGCTATAGACTTATGAAGTGAGGGGGCGGTCACGTCATTAACATGTTATCCCCCATCTGCCACCATCATTACCACCTTTTTTATTGCTCCTTATAATTTCAACATAATTATTCCTTGTTAACGTCTGCCCCTCAGATAGAGAAGGACCTCTTACGGACAATGCCAACCAATGCTTGTTTCAACACTATGACCAGTGTTGGAGTGCCGAGGCTCAGGCGGGTATTGAGAGGTCTAGCCTGGCTCTACCCGGACATCGGGTACTGTCAGGGTACTGGGATGGTGAGAATACCTACTGCGCATACTGAAAATGTTTGAGGTTTTTATTTAATTCACCATTTAATTTATTTTTATGCCTTTTTCCTCACCTTTTCCATATCCACTGCCCTTTCTCTTTCTTTTCTCTACACCTATCTGCATGATCGGTCCAGGTGGTTTCCTGTCTGCTGCTCTTTCTTGAGGAGGAGGATGTCCTGTGGATGATGTGTGCCCTGATTGAAGACCTTCTCCCTCCAGCCTACTTCTCCTCCACTCTGCTCGGTGTCCAAACGGACCAGAGGGTTCTCCGCCAGCTCATTGTTCAGTACCTACCTGCCCTCGACCGCCTTCTGCAGGAGCATGACATAGGTAAGGATGGGTATTAGGAAAGAGGGTGAAAATATGGTGCACAGGGTTAGAGAGGCAACAGGGACATTAGTTAAAAACAAATACATTCTTTTACAGACTGAGTTTCAACAGTCAGTAGGATACAATATCTTATCCCTTCCTCTTTACTCATCCAGAGCTGTCACTGATCACACTCCATTGGTTCCTGACATCATTTGCCAGTGTGGTGGACATCCGTCTGCTCCTTAGGATCTGGGATCTGCTCTTCTACCAGGGCTCGTTGGTGCTCTTCCAGGTCACACTGGGGATGCTCAAGATCAAGGTATTTGCTCTTTACCATTTCCTGAGTCTTAACTCCCTATTTTATTTGTGCTGTGCTGCTTCAGAGTTACTAAATTGTTTCAGTCACTCAGAAACTGATTGTTAATAGTTTCTAATATTAGTATTATACAGTACAGTATATAATACCAATGAGGCCAACCGGCTGCTATTTTCAAAAACTGTAAATGACAAGTATTAATCCATGTAAAATGTATTCCCCAACTCCAGGAGGAGGAGCTTGTATCCTCAGAGAACTCTGCTTCCATTTTTAATACTCTGTCGGACTTGCCAAGCCAGCTGAGAGATGGACCTGCAGTTCTTGGGGAAGCTATGAGGCTAGCAGGGACACTGTCCCAGGAAACTCTGGACGCCCACCGACACAAGCACCAAGCTTATATCCTAAATGAACAGGCGCAGCTCAGCAATGGAAACAACACAACTCACAACACAAATCTCAACAAGGTCAGTTGGTGTCAAGCTTTTTTTCTAGTCGTGTTAGTCACATGTGGACAGATAAGGGTGTTTATGTGATCTTCGTTTTTATGAAAGTAATAAAAAACAAACAATTCACTTTATATTTGTTCATGAGCAGGTGGTGAGAAGACAGTCGCTGCGCAGGAAGTCCACCCTGAGCTCCCTGTTGTTTGGGGACGATGAGGCAGAAGCTCTAAAATCTAAGAACATAAAGCAGACAGAGCTGGTCGCTGCCCTGCGTGAGGCCATAACTCGTACTGCAGAGCACTTCCACTGTTTGGACCCATGTCACTCCAGCACTGTGAGTTCAGACGCTTCAACACAAGAACAGTGTGTCTTGTTGTGCACTGAGAATCAACCAAAATAAATAGCGTTAATAGTCGAGCCAAATGGTTTAGTCTTAAATTTAAAATAGGAAACTCTCACTTCTTATAGCTATTAGTATAGATACCTATTCATTATTTTAGTTCACTGTTACCTGACCTCCCACCGTGTCTCTCTAGGACCTGACTCCTGACTACTCCATGGAGAGCCACCAGCGGGATCATGAAAACTTTCTTGTTGTGTCACGTAACCGGCGGAGACGGGCAAAGGCTTTGCTGGATTTCGAGCGACACGATGACGACGAACTGGGCTTTAGAAAGAATGACATCATCACTGTGAGCCTTGACTTACACTCAATACAATATTGTTGTTTCCAGTCATGAACACCTTACATAACCTCAGCTGAATGTTTATCCCAGTGTTTTTTATCTTCCTCCCTCAGATCATCTCACAAAGGGATGAACACTGTTGGGTTGGGGAGCTGAACGGCCTCAGAGGTGTGTGTCCTCTTCTGTTACTATTGCCATCTGGATATTTGATTTATATATATTCTGTATTGCAGCTCATTTGACTTCAATTTGTATGCTTTGTAACAGGCTGGTTTCCAGCAAAGTTTGTGGAGATCCTTGATGAAAGAAGCAAAGAGGTAAAGATGTATTTACTTTTGAGCTTGCATTTGGCTTCAGGCCATTTGATATCCTGTGAACCATGTGATGTTTGTCTGGTTTCTTCTTTGTTTCTTCCCGTCCACATTCCAGCACCCTGAATACAAATTTAGTGAAAGTGTCCTAATCATTGACAAGTGTTCTCATCTGTCTGCAGTATTCATTAGCAGGTGATGACTCTGTGACAGAGGCAGTGACAGACCTGGCCAGAGGCACATTGTGTCCGGCACTAAAGGCCATCTTTCAGCATGGTCTCAAGAAGCCGTCTATACTGGGAGGGCCCTGTCACCCTTGGTTATACATAGAGGAGGTAGGAAAGCTTCTTTTTACTTCACATGTAAGCATAATGCACAATGTTGTTTAAATTAAATTTGTATTATTCTGGTTTTCTCTCAGGCGGCCAGTAGAGAGGTAGAGAGGGACTTCAACTCTGTCTACTCAAGATTGGTGCTTTGTAAAACCTACAGGTAGAACACAGACACTCATTGTGTTTCCATTAGTTCTGTACTCACCAGAACATTTAATATGGGTGTGGGGGGTTATAATCTGTTGAATCTTGTAGAGCACATTGTAAAAATGACATGTTTGGAGTCCAGGTCATCCAAACCCTGTCAAGTGTGATCAGTGATTCAGTGGCAGAGGGTGATGATAATGTGGTTTGACACCTTCAGCAGTTTAATATTATTATATTTAGTAACAACTCGTTGTCTTTGGCATTTACCAGATTAGATGAAGATGGGAAAGTACTCACACCAGAGGAGCTGCTTTACAGAGTGAGTCATCAATATGTAAAGAAAAATGCATGTTGCTCAATGTAAAATACAATGAAAGTAAAATATTTTGCAATTTGTTCTCTTTGTACATGATTTTTTTAATCTCAGCTTCCAGCAATAAGCAGTATTCTTTAATGTAGTGTCTGTGTAGTGAGGTAAAATGAAGGTTAGTGGAAAGTACATGAGCGCCCTCTGTCGACTCTTTCAGGCAGTACAGTCAGTCAACATGAGCCACGACACTGCACACGCTCAGATGGATGTCAAGTTTAGGTCTCTTGTCTGCATCGGCCTCAAGTGAGTTTTCCAAACTGACACACACACACACACACACATAGATGATTGAAACTGTCAGTCCGCTAAATTTAATATAGTTTAAAACGTGCAGATCCTCAAATGTTGAGTACATGTGTCTGTTTCTCCAGTGAGCAGGTGCTTCACTTATGGCTGGAGGTGTTGTGCTCCAGCATGGCTGCTGTAGAGAAATGGTATCAGCCCTGGTCGTTCCTGCGCAGTCCTGGATGGGTTCAGATCAAATGTGAGCTCAGGTGAGAAAACCTTTAATCTCCACGAGAGCATTCAAAGTGGTTGAATGTGGAAACTTGAACAAATTAAAGATGGTTAAGGTGATGGTACAACTGTATTCAGAGCAAGATGCAGGATCAGACCGATAAAACAAATAATGACCAGTCTGCTGCTGTTGTTTCCTCAGGGTTCTATCAAAGTTTGCCTTCAGTCTCTCCCAGGATTGTGAGCTACCCGACAAAAAACAGGTGAGCACAGCAGATGGCCTCAGTATCCTCTTAGCGAGAAGAAGTAAGCACGTCTTAATATTCAAGGAGAACGTGTTAATATTCAGGAGAGGAAAAACCCTGTGATCTTTATACGGTTTCAGAAATCCACTATTCTGAAAGCAGAAGTAATGGATGTGCTGGTTCAGCATCACCTCTTTAGTTGGGATCTCTAGGTAACGTGCATATACGACTAGAATAGACAAAGTAAGAGATGCTATAGTGAACTCATTAGTTCCACTAGTTTGTCAACCTACTGATTCAAGAATCCCTATCAATCAATTCGTTTCTCAGTTTCTGTCCTTCCTGTTTGAAATTGTCTCATTTTAGTGATAGTGCTCATTTTGTATCTTTGTATTTGTTTTACAATCGACAAAGTGACAGTGTCAGTAGTCGTCCGTGTCTGTTGATTTTGTGTTTAGGTAAATTATGTCCACATTTCTCTTTTGCAGGAGAAGGAGCAGAGGCCGTTGAAAGAAGGCGTGCAGGACATGTTGGTGAAACATCACCTCTTCAGCTGGGACATTGATGGCTAGTCTCCCAGCAAAACATGGCTGAATCCCACCCTTTCCTGTGCATCTGTTTATATTTGATGTCTCCTCACTTGTCGATCCTAAACGCGACTCTATTGTCTGCTACATGAAGTGACTGCTTCACAGACACTCAATAATGAAGACTGAAACCCTCACGTCCCCACCGAGGATGACTGGTTTGTATGAGCTGAAGGATGTGTGCATTAAGGTGCATACTTTATTTTTATTCAGACCCTCTATAGGGGGTTTCACTTCATATTTAAAACGATGTATAAAAAGGTCAGGCACTCCTCTAGTACAGAAGAGTCTGTACTCACTGGACTGGAACATTTCTGGAGAACTGACTACACTGAGCTTTCAGCTTTTTATTGCTGACTGAGTTTTACGCGGGAGTGAGACATGCAGTCCGTTCTCCATCTACGTTCAAGGCAGCAGCGGGTGATCACACACACTGGGCCTTTTGAACATGGTCCCAAAATCCACATCAGCCTGTAAACTTCCCAAAGTGAAGACCAAAACAGAACATTCCTGAACGTGGAGCTGTAAAGTTACTTATTATTTTAGAGGAATGCTACTTACCTCAATATCCTGAATTCCCCAAAATATTCCAGTAAACACTAATGTTGCACACACCAAGTAAAGCCTTTTCAAATTGTGATACAAGACGATGGGAATGTGTGCTACCTGAACCGTGGTAGTGTGCAGTCTGCACTTGTATGACATATTGTAAATGAAACAGATGCTTTTCGTGTTAAAATCTACAGAAAATAAATGTTACATATATATATATATATATGTGTGTGTATATACAGTGGAGGTCCTAAAGTCAGTTTGTAATGTTTTTGTGTATAAATATATCTGTCTACTAAATGTGTACTTGCAAGCTTAAGAAATTTAACATAGGATTTAATTAATCTAATTTAGTTTAAACGGTCTGTAAAAACCAGGGGGTTGCCTGTAAATTCTGGACCAAAAGTGTGGACTGGAGAGTTAATGTCAACAAAACTAAATGAATTTATTTTGTAATGCAAAATGAAACTAAGCTTTATGTTCACTTATTTCATTTTCATCAGGTATATCTTTAGATCTTTGCTACATACAGTAACTAGAATGGCACACAGTAGTGCGCATACCTCCACCAAGCCCAAAAGTCCTTTTATGAACCCACATTTAAATTCACTGAAACCGAATTTCACACACGCATCAGGCCAGTTTTTTTTTTTTGTTTTTTTTTAATCTAAAATAATCAATGAACATGTTGAAAAATTGCCTTTTGCAATGTTGGAGAAGGTGAAAAAAATCCTGGCTTGCCCCCCTGATCCAGATCTACAATCTCAATGGTTTCCTCCTTTGGTTATGGCCATGCCCTCCATAAAATCCCATGGAAATAGAAACGTGTGAAAACAAACCTGCTTGGTGGAGGTGACAGCAGATCAGTTGAATGTGTTGCTATTCTTGGCATGAAGCTTGAAACTGTTGCGTAATTTCATTGATTTTTTTCTTTCACTCTCAGATGTGCAGAAAACACAATCATCATACTTAGTTTTACAAGATTGTAGCAAAAATCTACTTATAAAGGTACGTTAAACATGTCACAGTAGATTTGAGAAAAAGAATCAGGTGACTATTGTAAACTCATCCATCCCTTCTCTAGTTGAAGTCAAATAATGTTTTCACTCGTTAAGATTATTTTAATACATGATTAGAAAAATTTAGATGCTCAAATTTAAGAAGAAACGCTGTTGAAAAGTTCAGTAAAACCTGTTTATTAACGTTCAGGTTTTAAAGCGGCAAAGTTTAAAATGTCACAACATGTTAACAGCAACCGGCCTTAACACACAGGGTACTAGAGTTACAGGTATCACTGCAAGTACTGCATGTTTTCAAATCATGAACAACTGTCGGAATGATGGGATTATGTGCTGTATTTGTACTTACACTTATTGGAATACGGTGTGTACATGGATATGAAGGACGGTGGAAGCATCAGATACAACAGTCTAAAAGCGCAGCTGAGAGTAGGTGGAAAGATTAAGACCAATCCGAAAGCCAACGTTCTGCATGTGTGCTGCTGAATAAATAACTGACAATTATAAAACGTAACAGCTTATATTTTCTATATATCTAGAATTTGAAATCACTGTGCCCTCTGCTACATTCATTTGAGATTTGCATACATTTGTACAGTGGCATCGTTCCAAACAGAGCACTACTAACAGCTATTTAACATATGCAGTATAAATAGAACATGGACTGTTTTTCATTGCAAATACACAGGGAATGCATGGGGGGGGGGGGTATTTATAGCTGCTCATATTGATACTGGACCCTCCCCATCACTGACACCGAGCCAGAGAACTGAATTAAAGATTCCGTGGACAAAATTACATAAATCAGCATCCTGAGTGAGGCTAACCTCAGAAACCTCACTGTTTTCCATTATCCAAACATTTCAAAAACGCAAAAGCAGCTGACATTAAAATACAGAGAGGCTGCATGCCTTCTGGTTTGGGACGCATCATTCTCGGTGTTCCCTTTAAAAACAATAAGAAAAAAAAAAAAAGGCAAGAAGTAGTTGGAGTAAAGAGAGTGTCTTTCTGCAAACGTCTGTATCTTTCACGGTTTGTGGGATGAAGACACTTGGTGGAGTGATCACAGAGGGAGATTTGCGCAGGAGAAGAGGGCAGTTCAGGAGCCTCCTGTCCCCGATGGGGACGGAACTGCTGTTGAGTTGGCGCCGCTGTTCTGGCCTTTTCCCTTGTGCCTCTGGCCCCCACGTCTCCTCCCACCTCCTCCAGACTTTGGCTACGAAGGAGAGAGAACAAAATAAAAACATTGTTACGGCCAAAGTCAAATGTACATTTGATAGTTAATAGTTCTTAGAGCTGTGGTTGGACTGCTGGCTAACACACGTCAATTCAAAAGTGTTGAAATATAGAAATCTATACTGTTTGTCCTGATCAATTTCTTTTGGCACAAATTTAACTCTTTATTTTTGAATATCCGCAAATAACGAGTCTGGTCCCAACCTTAATATAATTCATTTCAATGGTTCAAATATATAAATTAACTTTGTTGATGTTGTATGAATGAAAGTTAAGTCACATGAAGCGAAACACTAACATGTCTTACTCTTCTTGGAGCTGCAGAAACAATTGTTTCCCTCGTGGTTGCACTGTTGTGTTACAGAGTGTAGTTTCTTCGCACATAAATAATCTCTGACAAGACGGCGGCATGCGGAGAGCAGACAAATTTGATTTAGTTTGTCAAGTTTATTGGTTACAGCTGACACCATGAATCTCCAGCGCAATGTTTTCACCAACAACCCGCAGCTAAAACTGAGAAGCTGCAGCTGATGAAGACGTTCAGCAGACAACCTTCAAAACCTACGAGGATCAAGACGGCTGAGGTACCAACTCCATCTTCTTTTTTTTTTGTTAAACAAACACCGTCATTCAAGTTCTCCACTGTTTTGGTTTGTTTTAAATGAACCCATTTTACCTTGTTCTCTTTGTTGCCCTCCTTTATCTGAGGGTCTTCCTCTCCCTCTCCCTTATGGAGCCAGTCAGGCAAGCAGAGGAGAGGGTGTGAAGGAGCGATGCGACAAAATTAGAGTTTAGGGTGAAATAAGGCAAAATCAAGCAGAGTGGAATGGATAAGGTGTTGCACAGAGGAAAAATAAAGAGGAGGAAAGAGAGGAGTAATGTTAGGATAATTTAGAATCATTAAAAGATGGGAAATCCATAGCCATGTGCAGTGCAATAATCAGCATGTCACAGTATATTTGCATATGTACGTATATCATTGACTTGTGACTCACTGCTTGTGTAGTGTTTGGTCCCGCTGACTGTGCTATCGTTGCTACATCATCGCCAGCTGCCGTGGTGCCGTCCTCTTTTCGGAGCGGAGCCTTTTTTGTAGACTGCATTTTGATCTGTGGCGGTTTGGAATTTGACGGCAAGTTGTTGGTGGATTGCAACAGCTGAAAGGAATTTTAGTAAACATCTGAGAGGTAAAGAAAACTAAAAAAGTTCTCACAACAAAATCTATTTCTCAGTCCGAGGCCCTATCTCACTGGAACATGTCTCACAAGGCAGTAGGTAAAATAATTATTAACAAAGCACATCCTACGTTTGTGGATCATCGACATCACAGATTCCCTTCAGGAGTTTATCAAGTGTCACATCACTTCAGCCATAACCCAATGTAAACTGTCTCCGTCTTCCAGAGGACTTTGATACCTTAGTGATGGTCCCCACAGCCTTGGTGCGTCCCTCTCTGAAGACAAGCCTCTGGTCACAGTGCAGATACTCCGGCGTCTTGATGAAGCGAAAGTGGACCGAAGCCTTGTCCCCTGTTCGTAAGCAGTCCCTGTTCATGGACAAGATGGTGGCTGTCTGCCTTATGCTGCCACAGTGGACTGAGTGGGGAGGGACAGGAGAACAGGACAACGGGAAGATGTGAGTTTATGCATATTGAGCAACAATGAATCACATTTGTACCGGGACACTTTACTGCTCTGTATTCTCATCAGTATACAGAAGGCTTCAGGACATCTAATTCAGATTTTTGTATTGTTCTCCTCTTGTGAAGGGCAGTGTACAGAAGTACAAGAAGAAATTGTACTGCGAGTTGATAAGAAGCTACATGCTTATACATCTTTATTAATTAATACATTATGTTTGTAGCTGTCATAAACTCTTAACTCTGCAGGTCCCTCTAGTGGATGTGTTGCTTAACAACCATGCCAATGGTAAAGGACGCATAGAAGACATGGTGTATGACAGACTTTTGATAGAGGCAGCAGAAATGAGCCTTAACCCACCCATGGCCTGGTATCTGGGGGATATCGTAGTGGGATGATGCAGCACCAGTATCTCAGCCTCAAACTCCCAAGTGGCCTGTGGGCTCAACCTCGGGGAAACCATCACCATGCCCTTCCTTATGGATGAACGCTTGATCTAAACAAAGAGTCGTGTGAAAAGAGGGGTTGAAAAACACAACTGTTAATTTAATAATTATTACTCCAAATCATTTTAAATGAGACTAGATTATGCTGACACCATGCTGTGAATCCCAAACTTCACTACTACTAGTTCTACTGTGGGGGACGATTCCCCTCCTACCTTTTTCAGAGCAAACGAGGCCGTCTGGCCACCTCGAACCTCCTTCACGGGCATTCTCTTACGGTGGATTGATTTGACGGCAATGGGGATGAAACTGCCCAGGGGGTCCGGCCCCAGGAGCATGGTATCATTCAGGCGTATGAGTCCACGTAAAGTAGTTCCTGATACGACGGTGCCCACTCCCTGAGATATTAAAGGAACAAAACGGATGGTTAAGAGTGCGTTTGGTAGATTTATCTAATAACTCCACACAGTGAAATGTATTGAGTGTTATGTTTGTGATTGGTCTGAGCACCGGCACAGAGTAGGTGTCGTCTATCTGAAACTCTGCAGGCTGATCGTCCCGGTAAGAAGTCCTGGAGGAGAGCAGGTTGAGAAACATCTTGAGCAGATCCATGTTCTCTCCGCTCACATTGGATATCTGAAAGATGGGGCACATCCTGGAAACACACAAACACACACACACACGTTACATTTTCACTGTTTTTGCTGAATTCCAGTTCCAGTAACTTATTACACTCGATTAAACTTTGATACCTCTCAGAGCTGAAGTTTGATGCTGTAACTATGACGTCATCCTTGTTCTGTACCAGGACTGGGATCTTCCTACAACCGGGAGACTTCAGTAACCTCTGGAGCAGCTTCAGTGTCTCTGTTAGAAGGAAAACAAAATCCACAAGAATTACACCACAAAGCCTAAACAGAAAGGAAAAGATCTGTTCAAGTAGATATCTGCAGTAGTGTAGATGAGGCAATCGTGTGAGTTATAACATTCACATGAGAGGGGACTGACCTTGTAGGATGTTGGCTGGACACATGTCTATCTTGGTTACCACCACGAACACAGGCACATTCAGAGCTAGGGCCAAGCCCAGGTGCTCTTTTGTCATCCCTACGATACCTGCGTTACTGCCCACCTGAGGAGACAGACAGAGAACTTTAATTCTATTCTCTTCTAAAGACACTTTATATACATTGTTAATATTACCAATTTAAAACTATTAACCAAATTAAAATATTTCACTAAAAATAATATATAATGCAATATATCTGTGCTCAATGTAAAAATTAACTGTCGAGAGGACACATTTGACTTTTTTTAAGTCTATTTTTAAACCCCAAATAATTATGAAATCACAAAAGACATTGGACACAACCCTTTCTCCTCAACATCCATGAGAATATTAGACACAAATACTGTAAAATCATGTATTGAGCCCTTTTTTTTTTTTTATATCGCCTAATGCAAATTTCCTTTTCCCCCACACACCAGCTAAAACCAAATCCACCCCTTCCTGATAACCAGCCCCCCCTCGTCCGCTCCTCCTTTCTGACCATGAGCATGCAGAAGTCAGGCAGGTGTCCAGTCATCCCAAACACAGTAGTCTTGAGGTATTTCTCGTGGCCGGCCAAGTCTATGAAGGTTATGACTTTGGAGGACTTCTCACAGATTTTGGTCCAGTCCAGGCTTCCTCCATGGCTGTCTGGTTTGTTCACCACCTAGGGACGGACAGAGAGGGGTTCAATTCCCAGCAGTCATACTGTCCATATGCTGCTTAAAACAAAAGTCAGTTCAACATTCCATTCAGAATGGAAATGTATCCAAGCACCTCACTGTACAGCACAAAAATCAACCACTGCTTTAAATGTTTATCAATTACAATTCTTTTAGAATCAACCCAGCCAGTAGACCTCTCTGGCCCTAACCTGTCCCTCCTGGTCAAAGCCCAGGATGTCGTTGCCCACACTGCTGGTCCTGCCACTCTCCATCTCATGCTTGTGTCTGAAGAGCTTCTGGCGGGCAAAGCCCCTGCCGTTGTCCAGCTCTCCATGTGTCAACACTCCAAGTAGAGTACTCTTACCGGCATCCACATTACCCACCACTGCAACCCTGGGGGACACAGGAGTACCGGAGTATAATTTCAACCGTACTTCACACACAACTGTATAATTGTCAACAACTTAGTTTATTCAAAATAAATGTGTGTATTTCTAATCTGAAAATCGAGGACTGAGGGGGAAGACATGATACGTGCACTGCTGGAAACCTGGAGGAAAGACTTCACCTGAACTGGTAAATGAAAAACAACTATTACCATAGCTGTGGATAATTACATGTGGACTCTACTAGCTGTTAGCACTAACCCTCTGTGTTCTGCTCTCTGACCACTCACCTAACCTCCAGGAAGTCCAGCTCACCCACACGCCTGCGGATCAGATAGTCGTGCACCAAACCTGCAGCCTCGTTGCGCTCTCGAAGTGGAATGAGGTCGGCGTCTAGTTGCTCACACATAGAGTGCACTGTGGCCACAGAGGCCTCCATATCTTTCTCATCCAGACCCCAGTCACCACCATCTGACAGAGTGATGGTGGAGGGAGTGGAACAAGAGGTAAGTACATGATACAACACACAGCCCTGGGATTTGTTATGAAATTC